CTACCAGTATTGTGCAAGCGCACTCTGTCCAAATAGGAGCAGGGATAAAATCATCCCAAAGGCTACACCAATCCTAGCACCTATTGGAAGTAAAGACAATTGTCACTGAGTAGTACCCCCATTAGCAGAGAAGTCTTTTCCTACCCCGTCATACCTAACTCCTACTGTAGCATCATCCAGTAGAAGTGTAGTAGCTCCTACACCATGCACATCACCACTCCAGTTAACCACCAAACCTCTGCCAAGCGGATCAACAAACACCAGCCCTACACTCAGAGCTAGTATTTTCTCAGGAATCTTTGATTCACCTGAACCAGTCAACCCACCAGTAGAGGAACAACACCCAGCACCTGTTCCAGTAGAACCCAAACCAGGACCACCCCGTTCCCCAGTCGATCCTACTCCAGAGGAAGAACCTACTGATAGGAATCCAAACAACCCAGAAGACAGAAACCCAGAACCCAGTGATCAAGAAGACGAAGAAGACATGTTGGACAACAACAGTAGAGCAGTAAACAAACCTAACCAATTCGAAGGAGACAAGGGAAAAAGCAAGGAATTCTTAGATGAATTATACCTGTACTTCGAGGGAAACTCCAAGAAGATCCAGACTGATAAAGACAAGGTTCAATGTGCCCTTTCCTATATCAAAGGACCTGCTCAGTTCTTCGTTCACACCATCATTACTGATGCACAAGAACCCATCTCTGATTCCAAAGATGCGCCACTCAAAGGATTACCTAGCTGGGCTAATTTCAGGAAGTCCTTTATTCAGACCTTCGGAGTCGAGGACAATACTCAGGCAGCCTTGAATGAGATCAGCAAGTGCACCTGGGATAAATGTGGAGGAAATGGTCTTCAATTTGTTACTACTCTTCAGCCTCTCTTACAGGCCAGCAGATTAAACAAACTAGGGCAAATTCGAGAACTCCAACATCTCATCCCTCCTGCTCTCCTTCTCAAGATTTCTGCCTAGCCCCCATTACCAGTCACTGCAATAGGATATCTGAACAGTGTTCAATCTATCTGTCAATCATAGATTGACATCTTTGGTGACAAACCTCTATTCACAACATCTACCAATTGATCTTTCAGTCGCAATAGATTTGTACGTGGCAACCGAGCAATTGAAACCAGAGAAAGATCATCCAAGGATCAGCAGATCAGATGACTATCAGACAAGGATCACAAGGAGCACATGGACAAGAAGTTATGTTTTAGATGCCATAAACCCGGACATCAGAGCCGCCAATGCCCAAACAATCGCATCAGGGCCATTGAATCCCACAACACATCCACTCAGGAGAAGGATGAAACCAAGGATTCTTCCGATGAACAAGGGATAGCCGAAGAATATATTCAGGCTATCTCCACTGAAAAGGATTTTTGAAGTCTTCAATTGCCGTGACATCGAATCGAAGTACTGGCACTAAGGACTATTTATATCAGGCAAGATTAGCTCATAAATCTATTTATTTGCCTTGTATATTAAAAACCTATGCCAAAATCGTCACAACTGAGGCATTGCTCGACACAGGAGCAATGGACAACTACATTGACATCCAGTTTGCTCGAGATCATAATCTCCAGCATCAGAATATCCCACCTAGACCAGTGTTCAATGTTGACGGATCACCAAACAAAGCCACGGTCATCAAACACAAAGTCTTCTTCACTATATCCTTATCTGGACAGCCCATGAAGATAGAAGCTTATGCCACAGTACTGGATAGGAACCCTATCATTCTAGGTCTTTCATGGTTCAAATGTTTCAACCCAACTATCGACTGGATCACTGGAAAGATGCACTTTTGTTGGGAGCAACTGTTGCAAGCCATCAAAACTCTTGCTAGTAACATCCCAGAATACCTAGAAAAATTCCTATCCATATTCAACAAAAGTACAGCAGAGCAATTACCAGAACAAAAACCCTGGGATCATGCAATTGACCTAGAAGCAGGCTTTAAACCCCAGTGAGGAAAGGTTTATCCACTATCACCAGCCAAGCTTAAGGAGTTGGATACCTTCCTCGAGGAAAATGTACGGAAGGGTTACATTCATCTATCAAAGTCTCCTATGGCATCTCCATTCTTCTTCGTCAATAAGATATCCAGAGATCTCTGACCATGCCAGGACTACAGGAAACTCAATGACACCACTGTCAAGAATGCCTACCCCATACCAAGAGTAGAAGACCTGTTAGATCGCGCCGCCTCTGCCAAACCAACAATGTTCACCAAGCTTGATTTACATGCAGGATACAACAATGTACGCATCAAAGAAGGTGATGAATGGAAAGGAGCATTCATCACTCTACAAGGATTATTTGAACCAACTGTCATGTTCTTTGGAATGACAAACTCTCTAGCAACCTTTCAAGCCATGATGGATGGCATCTTTGCCAATCTGCTACTAGAAGGATGGCTAGTAATCTACATTGATGACATTTTCATCTTCTCTACTGATCATACAGAACATCAACAACGTACTCAATTGGTTCTCCAACAATTGAAAGAATCGGATCTGTTCCTCAAACCAGAGAAATGCTTCTTTGACATATCAGAAGTCAAATTTCTAGGTTTCATTCTCCAACCAGGACAAATAGGCATGGCAGAAGATAAAGTATCAGCGGTACTAAATTGGCCAAAGATTGACAGTATCAAAGCACTACAATGGTTCCTAGGGTTTGCCAATTTCTACCAACGATTCATTCCAGGATACTCCAAAGTGGCACGACCCTTGTTCAACCTATTGGTTAAAGGAATCAAGTGGAGTTGGACTGATGATCATGACAGAGCCATCAATCAACTCAAAGGATGTTTTAAAACTCGACCACTTTTGGTTCAATCTAACGTCACCAAACCCTTCAGAATAGAATCTGACGCTTCCCTGAAAGTGTCTGGGGGAATCCTATCTCAGAAACAATCTGATGGGAAATGGCATCCATGTGCCTTCCTGTCCCAGTCATTCTCTCCCATAGAACAATGGTACAAAATCTATAATTGAGAACTCTTGGCAATCATTAGATGCTTCAAAGCATGGCGCCACTACATTGAAGGATGCACCAAACCAGTGGAAGTATTAACAGATCACATGAACCTGACGTACTTCAAAGATCCCCAGAAGTTGAATCCTTGACAAGCGAGATGGGCGCTGTACCTGTCTATGTTCAATTACTGCCTTCGCCACGTTCTAGGAACTCACTTAAGAAAAGCAGATGCCCTATCATGTGTTGATCAAGATGCGTCTGAAGGGGGGGGTGAACTTCCTGTGGAAGAAGTCCTTCTTCCATCAGAAGTCTTCATTCAAGCCATTCAGAACCTCGAACCCATCAATACAGACATCAAACAATGCATCTTGCCTGCAAAACCAAGGACAGCATTGCCGATCACAGTCTTCGACTAGAATTACAACACACTTCCTCCACAGATAAGTGTACCCCTCCTAACTGGGACATTCTAGATGACTTGCTGGTATTCAGAGGACGAGTCTACATACCCAAAGACACTAAACTTTGATAGGATCTCATTCAAGAAGCCCACAATTCTCCTATCACAGGACACCCTGGACGATACAAGACTCAGGAGATCCTCCAAAGAACCTACTGGTGGCCCACCCTGGCGTGTGATGTCAGTGACTACGT